CACAAATGCGGCTGCGGTGCCCCCCCCCCCGAACTGGAGTGGAGGGCTGACCACGCACACCTAACTCCCGGGTCACCGGACCTGGGCTCAACTCGGCTCTGCTAGCCATGAGCCGAAACCTGCAGGAACGGCTGCATCTCTGAGACTGTTTCCTTATCTAAAAGGTGGGGAGAGCCCTCTCTGCTCCCCAGAGCTCCTCAAGGACAAAAGAGTGTGTGGAAAGCCCCAAGCCCGGCACTGATCCGAAGCACGTTGTGTTGGCACTGGATCAGGACAAGGTAGTGGCCACGTGACCCTGGTTCCACTCACCAGCTTTGCCCCCGGGGGGGGGGTGCAATTTAGTCCTCAGTTATCTCCTTGAACCCGGTTTTCCTTACCAGTCAGCTGTGAGCTATGGCACCTCACATGGTTGTGAAGATATTGGATGATGCAAATTAAGGCGCCTGGTTTTTAAATGACAGCTTCTACTCTTGGAAATGCTGCCCGGTCCACTCACCGTGTTGCACTCACCTGCAGCACCTTGCCCTGGGGCCCCTCGTCAAAGAGCAGAGCCTGCTGGAACAGGGGGTCGCACGTCTTCTTCACCACCTTTGTCTTCTTTTTGGCCAGGCAGGCCCCATTCTCAAGCAGGTAAGCCTTGATATAGGTGGCTAAGGGGAGTGGAAATACGATGGAGGGGGCCAGGCAGGACTGCTGCGGCCTGCCCTATTCCCTATGCACCAGGTAAGCCTGGCTCTGAGCAGGGTGAGAGGGTGAGCTAATCGGCGGCCAGTATGGAAGAGTCGAACACAAACACCAATGTCCCTGCCCTGTACACTGGCCTCCCAGGCAAGCTAGCTCTACTGCCAAGAACGAATTTAAGGGCTGGCCCCGTGACCTGGTGGTTGAGGAAGCTGGATCCCCCATGGCTAACTGAGTAGTTCGAATCCCAGCACTGGTAGCTTGAAAAACATACTGGCCATGTGTGCATGGCATGCCAAATTCCCAAAAGGAGATGTGACATGGCCACGCCCCATTGGGGGTGCTATTCCTCTCTCTCTAGCTATTCCTTTCTCTCTAGTGCATTCCCTTTTGGGGGGGAGGGGAGGGCGGTACAGATGCAGGCCACTGAAGACCTAAGGGCTTGCTAGAGCCAGAGCTCAGCTGTGTACCTTTGCTGTTAGGACCAAGGTCCAAAATCCCATTCCCGGCTCTCAGCCTCACCTGGGAGGGACTTGGAGCCTGGTTTGGGGGTCAGGCCCCGAGCTTCAATCACTTCCACCTCCAGCTGGCCACTCCGGTCCATGATGGCAACATGCACGTCTCCTGTAAGGGAGGAAAGGGTGCGTCCAGGCAGTGCCAGGCCATGGGCAGGCCAGCCAGCTGCTGCACAGAAAGCCGGCTGCAGAGAGGCTGCCATGGCACTGGAGCGTGTGAGACGGAGCAACCTGTGTGCGCCAGAACTGCTCCCAGGAGACCACTTAGAAGCAGCTGAGAGATGCTTCGATAGGTCCCGGGGGTGGTGTGGGGGCATGACCTTCAAGGGGCGTGCTTGGGCAATGGATGACTGCCAGACTCCTACTGGAGGCTTCTGCCTGGGCAGCACAGGCAGGTCTGGGGACAGAACTTCCCGAGTCAGGAAGACTGACCGGGAGATGCAGCGGCTCCTCCTCTCCTCCGGCACAGCAGCCCACAGCCACTTACTTCCCTACTGATGCCAAGCTACGAGCCTGCCCAGGACATGACAGGATGCGGGCCTGCTCGTTGAGAACTGTGCTCTCACAGGTTGGGTTACCCGCAAGGGCGAGTTCTGCGTGCACCCACGCCTCCCATTCCTGGGAACTCTGCGCTGCATGCAAGGTGGGTTAGCAGTCTTCACTCGGAGCATCCTTCAAAGGGATGCAGAATGCTAAGTCTGATCCAGAAAAATTAAATGGCCAGACTGGGGTTTGGCTGCCCATTTTAACTCTCTGAGCGACTGTGAAAGTTTGTTTGCTCATTGGGCAGCCAGGGGCTGACTGCGTTCAGGACACATCCTGAATCTATCTTCCATGTCGCTGTTCCTGACCTCCTCATGGGGAGGGAGAGGGTCTCCAAAATCAATCATGTCTCACTGTAACATCTGAACAGTGGAAACAAATGGACCTGTCCTTCTCGGTTTGGGACACCAGGGGGCACCACACACAAATGTTCCAAGCATGGTGGTGCGTTGGCCTTGTGGAGGTGGCTGGCTCCCCAGTCCCCAGAGCTTGAAGCAAGAGCTAGGGATTAGCTAAATCCAACCAGATGAGAGCTGACCCCCGCCCTCTGAGGGCACCTGTAGGCCGCT